TGAGGGATGCTGTGATGGCAGATGAGAAGGCAGGTGTGAGGGATGCTGTGATGGCAGGTGAGAAGGCAGGTGTGAGGGATGCTGTGATGGCAGGTGAGAAGGCAGGTGTGAGGGATGCTGTGATGGCAGGTGTGAAGGCAGGTGTGAGGGATGCTGTGATGGCAGCTTTGAAGGCAGGTGTGAAGGGTGCTGTGATGGCAGGATGAAGGCAGGTGTGAGGGATGCTGTGATGGCAGACGCTTACCTGTAACCTCTTTCAAACGGGCCGCCCGTGCAGCCATGCCGCGCTGTAACTGCTGCATCTCGGTTGGCTCATCCTCATCTGAAACACGCACGCAAGTATGCAGAACTCAGTTACATACATATCTCATCTGAAACACGCACGCAAGTACGCAGGACTCAGTTACATACATATCTCATCTGAAACATGCACGCAAGTATGCAGAACTCAGTTACATACATATCTCATCTGAAACATGCACGCAAGTATACAGAACTCAGTTACATACATATCTCACGTAAAATCGTTATACACTCTGTCTTTGCGATATTCAGACATATCGTATATCTGTGTAGCTCTATATACATCTATCTATCTATCTATCTATCTATCTATCTATCTATCTATCTATCTATCTATCTATCTATCTATCTATCTAGCTAGCTAGCCAGCTATCCATCCATTCATCTATCCATCCATCCACCCACCCATACACCCACCCCATCCACCTACTCAGTGATCTACATATAGCAATCTAACTCTACATGTCTAACAAACTTGTTGGTTCGGTGACCCCATTGCTACATGTGCTACTTGTCATTCTGCAGTCCTCTGGCGACAGGTGACCAGTGCTTCCTGGTCCATGTTTTACATGTGTACACAAATAGCCAGCTAACCTGGCACGCTCGCCATTCTCACGCACGCTGCCTCCACTATTGGTGTCTTTTTAGTAAAGGCTACATTCAACGAGAAAGCTTCACGAAGAGCAAGGTAGGTAAGCTATAATAGTAGAACATACAGTCCTGTGATTAATGTCTAACAAGTTTACATGACCCCGCGATCGAGAAATGATTCTCAGCCACGTCGAGAACTCTTCACAGTTACGTATTAACCTGGTTCTAGCCAATAGCGTAGTAACTGTAGGTAACAAGTCTACGCGTTACCTAACTCACAATGTATACCTTACATCGTGGTCTACAGGCAGAAAATCAAGCTTCAACGTCAATCATAGCTTCTATATTCCAATCCATCCCAGCTATCTATAGCTATATAGATAGCATCTATATTCTATCATAGCGAGGAAAGAGAGAAACTGCATTCTACAGCAATGACGGCGTGTACGAAGTTTGGAACTGCGTTTCTGGTAAGAATTTATATTCTACTCAGACTGAAAAATTCATTTTGAAAGCCACTGTAGACTCTTGGCTCGGAAAATTAACAATTAGTGTTACATATCTAGTAACGATAGAGGGCAGAATACAGTGAAGGTGGAGCGGCAGTGTTCTGTGAACATGCTGCTGTTCAGGAAACCCGACCGCAATCGAAAGAATTCTGATCATGATTTTTTTCAATTTGAAAAACGCAATTGTATGTCCAAACGTAATTCCAACGTATGTCCAAACGTATGTCCAAACGTAACGTCCAATTGTATGTCGCAATTGTCCTTCACAAACGGATTGTTTGCATATAGTACAGTAGATTAGAAAAAAATCGTTCAAATTGTGAAAAAAGTATGAAAATTGGTACACTTGCATACTTTTGTATGCTCTTTCATTTAAAAGCAGGACACACGCGATCCAACTACAACTTCGGCCGCCATCTTGAATTTAAAAATG